ATTATGCTGTCAACAGAGTCGAATCACAACAGAGGAGTACTTGATGAAGCACTTGAGGTAATTAAGTTTTTTTTTTAAGTATGAAAATCACTTGAGGTAATCAACACTTTCTGTTCTTGAAATCGAATGAATAAGTATCTTAATCAACAATTTGGAAAGGCATAGAAACACAATAGTTCAAATCAAACGGACTAACTAAAACCTATCACTTTGGTATTGGGCTTAATGAGGAACAAAATTTGATTGAATATATACAGAGGACGCATTAAGATGTACCTTAGAAGACTAATTCGAGTCTAGATTAACACATCTCACCAATCGAAAAAGGAACTCGTCCGTCAGGGGATCGTGAGAACCACCGGTAAAATCCTCTCCGGTCCAAAAATACAGTTTCAGTGATTGAAAAAGTGAAGAAGATACTAGAGATGGTGTCGACATGTACCGAAGGACGGACGACGATTTCTAAAGACGAGAACTGTGTAACGGCGGTCGTACACCGGCTGATGAAAGTATCACTGGCGGTGACAGATCAAGGAATCGGAGTGATCTGGAGCTCGTGTTACATGTCAAGAGATCGAATGGCTCAGGAATTTGCAATGAGGAACAATGGATTGACAAAGGTGTTGCTCGTGATGCAGAGTAATTGCTTCGAAACGGTGAGGCAAATCGGTGTGCCGTTCATAATCGCAACTAAGAATTGCAAAATCAAAAGTTCAAATTCATAAAACTAGGAATACTAATTGAACTTACCTGAGTTGCGATGAGCAATAATCGACTTTATGTGTGTGATTTTGATCACCTGTGCTAGAAATCGATGGTGATTTCATTGAAATCGGTGATGATTTTGTTGAAAATCGACAATAACTGTGGTCCTTCATCGATCTTCAGCGCATGTGTGTGAGTCTGATCTTCAGTGAGGATCTCTTTCTGTACGACGTGATTACACATACTTTGGCTATCAAAGATCCATCATAGAATATTCAGGTATTTGGCAATCTACTGTTGCAATTGAAGATGAAAACTAATGACATCGATCTCTTAGCTCGTGGATTCACCATCGATGATACGGAGGATAAGGACCATGGATTAGTAGTCTTCACCTTACCTGATTCAATGAATAGCGGAGACATTTGACGGAGGAAACCATAGATGTCAGGCGATGGTTCTGGATTGGGGAAGGATCGACGATGAAGTTATAAGAGAAAGAGGGATGACGGACAAAGACGATGAGAGACTTGAGAGCGGCATCGATTGGTTTGGGGGATAATCTCTTCAGTACCATAAATGCCCTTCGATTAATTTCAGAACCATACCCCCGTATTTAATTTTCCCATTTATTTACAAAAACGCCACCGAGCATCCTAGCCTTTTATTATTTTGATCTAACGACTCACAATCGGTTCTCGGGAAACTTTGAGTTCTCAAATGATCCTTCCTCTCTCTCTCTCTCTCTCTCTCTATA